ATAAATATATTTAAATTTAAGAAATAGCATACCGCAAGAATGCAATAGCTAAGCATGCATATACTCAAAATATTCTTGAACATTTCCATGAAACATATTGGACTCAAGAGATGTTCTGTACGTCCTAGAAAACTTCACAGTTAATACGTAAAAAATTAGAAAAAATTTTCTCAAAGGAGTTAGAGATAAATAAATGGATAAAAGAAGTTAAACAGTATAAACAAAAAAAAAAATTAATCAAAAAATTTTACCTTAGAATTCTCAAATGATGTTCAATAATTACACTTATTTCATCAATGCGCACATTCTTATTTTCTTGTTGTGGCCGATTTACAAATTCTTCGATCCAAGTAATCATTATAGTTAATTGGCCAACAGCGTGGCATGCAAATACTGTAGCAAGACTGAAAGCGATAACAACAGTAGCGCTCATAATATATCCGGCCAGAAATTGAAAACCAAGTACAATACTGTGCCCTGGATTAGTATCAACCGGAATTTTATAAGTTGGAAAAGGTAAGACGTATATTTCCATACTTTCGTTGCCGATTTTAATTTTCCTTTTGAAAACTCCAAATACAGTGCAGAAAGAAATAGTACTAAGTTGTAGGAAGCCCGCGACACAACCGGAAACGATGCGACCAATTTTTGCGTTTTTAAACATTACTTGCCGATCGCCTGTCCTCGTAATAGCCTTCCAATCGGTTTCTATATGGTCTATACAGTAGCGTATATCGTCTTTACGAAGCAACAACACTGCATAATTAAGCCCTCCACCAAAGCAATAACTTATAGGGCCAAGCGTTTTTAATTTTGAGATAATATCCTCTTTCACGAGAGCAAAATATAACAAGCTTGGTATTATGACGAATAAAGCGATAATCCAACAAAAAAAAATTAAAATCTTTGTCATTATTTTCTCGAATTTCGAGGTAGAGGATGGAAGTGGCCATACGCCTATCGTTTTTGAAAGCCATCTGTTCAATTGTATACTATATTCGTTCAGACTACCAAACTTCTTCTGAATTGCGGCAATGTCATCCGCCATCATGTTTCCTCAACGAAGTTGCAGGAACGACTGAATATCGTATACACATGGTGTCGTACAAATGATATGCGTCGATCGATACATATATTCTGTTACCATAACTATTGACAACGGTTAATCCATCTGTTTACGTTTCAGTTCGTTGACGATAGTTACACATGTTGTACAGTCAATGGAGTGGTAGAAAGTAAATTAGATATTTTTGCAGAACAATAAAATTCGTAAAAAACTCACTTTTTATAAGTGAAGCATTATTTTGAAATATATATATTATGTGCTACATAATATCAATCGAGAAATTAATGAATGAAAGATAAAAAAGTGTATTTTTTTTATTAATCACAATAATATTCAAATAATGGAGTGCATTTAATGCAGATTACAGATTAACGATTATTAACTTTTTTGGGTTAATTTTTAGAGAAAAAGAATTTTTTAAAGAATTTAAAGTAGAAAAAGAATTTTTTAAACTTTATCTAATGCATTAAGTAGCTTTGAAATACGTAGAATGTATCAATATTTCTATTATCTATTCTGAAATTTATATATTATCTGAGAGTACAATTTTTGGAATTAATAAAATTTTAATACAATAATCACTTTGAATTTTGAAAAATTTTTATAATTATTTTATGAAATACATAATAATGGGAATATTCAAATATGTGCAAATATACAGATAATTTTAATGATCTGTAAGAAAATAATAAATTGGAATATGATAAAGATGTTATGCAATGTTAAATGATAAATAAATAGATCTTTAAGAATTTTCAAGAATTATAAAAGCTATTTATCTAATGATAATTTTACGAATTTTTCATCTATCAATTTTAGAAGAATTCGAAATTATAGATATCAATATTAAATTCAGTGCTTTCTTTTTTTGTAGATAATTAATCTATTACTTGATTAAATTTGAATTCTATTTTTTACTTCAGATAACGTAGAAACAAATAATTTTGTAAAAATTGTAAAAATATAAAATACAATTTCGATAAAATCTCACCAACAATATGAAAATATTGATTATAAAGAATATGAGCAATAGATTAACTTTTTATAGTTTTTTAATCGTTTTACTTTGTTCCTATTTTTAAAAAATTGAAAACGAAACAATTGCAATCATCATATTTATCTTATTTTCTTATTATTATCTTATTATATTTATTTTTATGTTATTATCTGATTAAATAGGGAATACTTCAAAAATCATCTAAAAATTTATTGAAAAAAATATTTCGTTTAGAAACTTTACTATTTGAGATAAAAAATTAAATATTTATGTAAAGAATTTATATGTAAATAATATTCTAATATATTATTTAGCTATTGTTTATATATTTTTATGTTTTTGCCTTTTTTCAGTCCATCAATAGTTTTTCGCAACTTCGTTAATAAAAATTCGAAATTGTCTATATCTATACAACAAAAACGGTCAAATTGCAAATTGCAATTCAGTGATGACAGATATCATAATGGAATCAAATATCATATCAATTGCAAAATTTCGAAGAACGAATTGGATCAAGAAACTCACAGTAGAAAAGAGAGATCTAGGATTTCACAATTTTGTTATCGATCTTTTTGTTTTGTGCAAAGAAGCATAACAACATAAAAATCTCAATATAAAAACGAAATATATAAAACTAACGCAATTGATGAAACTTTAAATTTATGTGAGTATTTATTTCAAATTTTTTATAATTGATAATATTAATTGGACAATGTATGTGCACTAAAAATAAATTATACATGTATGAATTATTTTTGATATTCGCGCAATAGAAATATGATACGTGCTATTTGTCAGATAAAATCATTCTAGAAAATATTGAAAATGTGAAAATCGTAATTTTTTATTTAATATTTTTTCCAAGCCTATTTTTTTCTGGAATCATGATGTTATGCCTAAATTAGTTCTTAAGGGAGAAAGATGATCTGTAATATATGATTGTCACTGTTGTGCTTTAAGTATTCAATTAAATGTAAAATACACAAAAAAAAAAATTTTGATGTTTTTTGCATTTAAGTATATATAGAAATGTACATATGATTATATTATAAAATTGCAAATTGTGATTTTCTGAAAAATATAACATATATCTGATTATTATAGATATAAAAAATATTTTTTACTATACACTTTCAATTTCACTTGAATATAATTATTAATATGTTTCATTTTTAATATACATATTATATATATCTATAAATATTATTTATAACATGCTTGTTTCTAAATATGTATTTGATACATGTTTTTTTATGTGCTCAATATATGTGCACATTACAATATTGTCACTTGGCGTAATATATTTAAATATGCAAAAATAGTTTTTATTATCTGAAATTTAAATATATTTGTATGAATATTTTCGAGAATCAATGATTTTTTTTCTTTAAAAATTGAAAAAAACAGACATACATTACTAAATGTGATCACTGACATATCAATTATTTTTCCGGCGGTCATTTTGTATTCTACGCTAGATCGTGTAATAATCATAATCAGATTAAGAATATCTTTGTCAGGTAATCGATACCAATTTGTCATGTAAACCATGTTACCAATTTCCTTACACTTTTCAGTTAGTACTTCACTGATATAACATATTAAAAACATGCTTAAAGTTATATTTGTTATTGTAAAAGTATATGCACTGAGGGCTCTAATATCACGTTCTGACCATTCCTACGAAAAAATGAATATTTTCAAGTTTATTCATTACTCATTTTGTTTATATTATTTTTTACAATTTTTTTATTGATTAAATTTTATAAAATTTGCAAAAAAATCTCAGTTATATAAAATTATTATTATAAATTATAATTATTTATATAGAAATTATTTATATAAAATTTACATATAATAAGATTCAATTAGTTATTTTCAATTTCTTTGAAATAAATGGGCAAAGTGTATCATATTTTAACTCGATGCTAATAACATGTTTTAATGTTACAGAAATGGAAGAAAAGGAAAAATGAATCTTATTGAAATTGAAAACAGAATGATTGTTTTAAAAAAAATAAATTTGTCAAAAAAATTAAGCACAAATTTATGTGTTAAATCAATATCTTAAAATCATTCTATTATTTCTTCACATAATAACGAAATTTGCGGATCATTTGTTAAAATACGAATGAATTCATCATGCAAATTCATCAAACAAAATATTTTTAACATAGAAATTCACTAAACTAATAATTCTAATAACAAAATCCTCAATGAATATATTTAATTTAGAAAATACATACCACAAGAATACAATAGCTAAGCATGCATATAGTTAATATATTCTTGAACATTTCCATGAAGCATATTGGGCTTAATAGATGTTCAGTACGTTCTAGGAAACTTCACAGTTAATATATAATTAGAAAAATTTTCTTAAAGCAGATAGAGATAAATAAATAAATAGAAGGAAACGAATAGTAGAAATGAAAGGAAATTATACAAAAAATATTACCTTAGAATTCTTAAATGATGTTCAATGATTACACTTATTTCATTAACGCGCACATTCTTATTTTTTTCTTGTGGCCGATTTACAAATTCTTCGATCCACATAATCATTATAGTTAACTGACCAGTAGCGTGGCATGCAAATACTGTAGCAAGACTGAAAGCGATAACAACAGTAGCACTCATAATGCATGCTGTCAGATATTGAAAACCAAGAACAATACCGTGCCCTAGATTAGTATCAATCGGAATTTTATAGGTTGGAAAAGGTAAGACGTGTATTTCCATACTTTCGTTGCCGATTTTGATTGTCTGTTTGAAAACTCCAAATACAGTACAGTAAGAAATAGTACTAACTTGCATGAAGCTCCCGATGCAACCAGAAATGATGCGACCAATTTTTGCGTTTTTAAACATTACTTGCCGATCATCTGTCCTTGTGATCGTCTTCCAATCGGTTTCCATATGCTCTATACAATAACGTATATCATCATTAAGAAACAATAATATTGCATAATTAAGTCCTCCTCCAATACAGTAACTTATAGGACCAATCATTTTTAATTTTGATATAATATCTTCTTTCACAAGAATGAAGTGTAACAAGCTTGGTATTGTAACGAATAGAGCGATGATTGAACAGAGAAGAATTAGAATCCTGGTCATTATCTTTTCGAATTTCGATGTGGTGGATGAAAGTGGCCATACACCTATTATTTTTGAGAGCCATCTATTCACTTGTATGCTATATTCGTTAAGATTGTCAAACTTTTTCTGAATCGCGACAATATCGTCCGCCATCGTCTCTCCTCAACGAAGTTATAGAAACGACTGAATGGTATACATATACGATGTCGTACAAATGATATGCGTCGATCAATATATATAATCCGTTACTACATCTATTGACGATGGTTAATCCATGTGTTTACATTTCAGTTCATTGACGGTAGTTGCGTGTGGTGCGCACTCGATGACATTCGAATAATAGAAATTAAATTAAATATCTTTGATGAATGATAAGATTCGTGAAAATATTCATAAATCTTTTTTAAAAGTAAAGCATTATTTTGAAATATAATATATGATATGTGATATTTAATATTAATTGAGAAATTAGTAAGTAAAATATAAATAAGTATACTTTTTTTTTATTAATCACAATGATATTCAAATAATAGAATTTATTTAATGCAGAATAGGATTATTAATTTCTTTGGGGTAATTTTCAAAATAGAAAAAGAATTAATTTATCTGATGCGTTAAATGATTTTGAATTTACACATAAAATGTGTAAATATTTCCATTGCTTATTCTGATATTTATATATTATTTTAGAATATAGTTTTTAGAGGATAGAATTTACAGAATATGGAGAGATTCAATATGCTAGAAATAATTTTAATGATCTCTAACAGGAAATAATAAAATAGAATATGATGAAGATATTATGCAATGTTAAATAATAAACAAATAGATAATTGAATAGATAAATCAAGAACTATAAAAAATATCTAAAAATAATTTTATAAATTTTCCATCTATCAATTTTAGAAAAATTCGAAATTATAAATATCAATATCAAATTGAATGTTTTCTTTTTTTGTAAATAGTTAATCTATCATTTGATTAAATTTGAATTCTATTTTTTATTTCAGATAATATAAAAACAAATAATTTTGTAAAATTATAAAATATAATTTTGATAAAATTGTACCAAGAGTATGAAAATATTGAGTATAAAAAATATGAGCAATAAATTAACTTTTTATAATTTTTTAATTGTTTTACTTTGTTCTCATTTTTTAAAGAATTGAGAACGAAAAATAATAATTGCAATCATCATATTTATTTTATTTTTTCTTATTATATTTATCTTCATGTTATTATCTGATTAAATAGATAATAACAAAAATCATCTAAAAATTTATTGAAATATATCTCATTTAGAAACTTTTTGATTTGAGATAAAAAATATTTATGTAAATAATATAAAGAATTTTTATGTAAACAATATTTTAGTATATTATTTAGCTATTATTCATGTATCATTATGTTTTTGCCTTTTTTCAGTCCATCAACAATATTTTTGCAACTTCGTCACAAGAATTCAAAATGGTCTGTATCTTTGCATAACAAAAACGATCAAATTACAAGCATTCAATGATAGCAGATATTATTGAACCAAGTATTGCATCAATTGCAAAATTTTGAAGAAGAGACTAAATCGAGGAATCCACGGTAAATAAAAGATTAGGATTTTATTATCGATTTCTTTGTTTTGTGCAAAAAAACATAACAGTAGTATAAATGAATCCAACGAAATACATAAAATCAGCGCAGTTGATGTAATTTTAAATTTATGTGAGTATTTAAATTTTTTCGAATTTTTTATAATTTATACTATGAATTGGATGATGTATGTGCAAAAGAAAATAAACTGCATATTTTAGAATATGAATATCGGCAAATGATTTCAAAATGTGGTACATGTTAGATAATAATGGATTAAAATTATCAATATTTTAATTATTTTTTCTAAACTTATTTTTTTCGAGAATCATAATACTATGTGTTTAAAACACGTCTTAAGAAAGAAAGATAATCGATTTATAACATAATACGATTGTCACTATTGTGATTTTAAGCATTTATTTCAATGAAGTTGGTTCAATAAGTTAAATACATAAATAAAAAAAAGTTTTGAAATTTTTTTGCATTCAAATACATGCTGTACATATAATTCTATTATAAAATTGTAATTTATGATTTTTTGAAAGATGTGAGATACATTCAATCATTATAGATATAAAAAATAGTTTTTATACTTTCAATTTTAATTGAATATTATTATTATTGTGCAATATTTGTTTTGAAATATATATTCGATATATGTTTTTTTATATGCTCAATACATGTGCACTTTACAATATTGTCATTTGGCGTAATATATTTAAATATGCAAAAATAGTTTTTACTATCTGAAATTTTAAATATATTTGTATGAATATTTTTGAGAATCAATGATTTTTTAAAATTTGTTTCTTTTAAAATTGGAAGAAACAAACATACATTACCAAATGTAATCACTGACATATCAATTATTTTTCCGGCAGTCATTTTATATTCTACGCTAGATCGTGTAATAATCATAATCAGATTAAGAATATCTTTATCAGATAATCGATACCAATTTGTCATGTAGACCATGTTACCAATTTCTTTACATTTTTCAGTTAGGACTTCACCGATATAACATATTAAAAATGTGCTTAAAGTTATATTCATTACTGAAAAAATATATGCACTGAGGGCTCTAATATCACGTCCAGACCATTCCTACGAAAAAATGAATATTTTCAATTCTATTTATCATTCATATTGTTTATATTATTTCTTATAATTTTTTATTGCTTAAATTTTATGAAATTTATAAAAAATTTTTATTATAAATATGAAAATATTATTATATATTATAGTTATTTATTACAGAAATTATATAATAAGATTCGATAAATAATTTTTAATTATTTTGAAATAAGTAGCTGAAAATGCTTCACTTTATTACTCAATGCTTATAACATATCTTAATATTATACAGAAATAAAAGAAATAAACCTTATTGAAATTGAATAAAGAGTAATTTTTAATTTTTTGAATAAAGAGTATTAAAAACAATGAATTTGATAAAAAGATTAGGCACAAATTTATATATTAAATAAATATTGTAAAAATATTTTAATATTTTTATACATAAATTTGTAGATCATCTATTATACGAATGAATTCTTCATGCAAAATGTTTTTAACAGAAATATACTAAACTAATGATCATAAAAACAAAGTTCTCAATGAATATATGTAAATTCGAGAACTACGTACCACAAGAATGCAATAGCTAAGCATGCATATACTTAATATATTCTTGAACATTTCCATAAAGCATATTGGACTCAACAGATGTTCAGTACGTCCTAAGAAACTTCACAGTTATTATGTTATTAGAGAAATTTTTCAAAGATAAATACAAATAGATAGATAAATAAAACAAATAAATAGAAAAGAAAAATGAAAAGACAAAGAAATTGTGCAACAAACGTTACCTAAGAATTCTTAAATGATGTTCGATGATCACACTTATTTCATTAATTCGTATATTTTTATTTTCTTCTTGTGGCCGATTTACAAATTCTTTAATCCATGTAATCATTATAGTTAACTGACCAGCAGCGTGGCATGCAAATACAGTAGCAAGGCTGAAAGCGATAACAACGGTAGCACTCATAATGCATCCTGTCAGAAATTGAAAACCAAGAACGATACTGTGCTCTAGATTAGTATCAACCGGAATTTTGTAGGTTGGAAAAGGTAAGACATGTATTTCCATACTTTCGTTGCCGATTTTGATTTTCTGTTTGAAAACTCCAAATACGATGCCGAAACAAATTGTACTAACTTGCATAAAGCTCGCGATGCAACCGGAAATGATGCGACCAATTTTTGCGTTTTTAAACATTATTTGCCGATCGCCTGTCCTTGTGATAGCATTCCAATCGGTTTCTATATGGTCTATACAGTAGCGTATATCATTTTTACGAAGTAATAATATGGCGTAATTAAGTCCTCCTCCAAAACAATAGCTTATAGGGCCAAGCGTTTTCAGTTTTGAAATAATATCCTCTTTAACGAGAGTAAAATGTAACAAGCTTGATGTTATGACGAATAGAGCGATGATCCAACAGAGAAAAATTAAAATCTTCGTCATTATCTTTTCGAATTTCGAGGTGGAGGATGAAAGTGGCCATACGCCTATCGTTTTTGAAAGCCATCTGTTCAGTTGTATGCTGTATTCGTTCAGACTGCCGAACTTTTTCTGAATTGCAGTCATATCATCTGCCATCGTCTTTCCTCAACGAAGTTGCAGAAACGACTGAATGGTATACATATGATGTACAGATGATATGCGTCGATCGATACTCTGTTACCATAACTGTTGGCAACGGTTAATCCGTATGTTTACGTTTCAGTTCGTTGACAATACTGACATGTGTTGTATATTGTGCAGTCGATTGATAAAGATTAGATGTCTTAGTTGAATGCAAAAATTCGTAAAAAAGATATTTTTTGTAGTTGAAATATGATTTTAAAATATGTTATGTATTTTTGAATGTCAATCGAAACTGTAAATGAAAAATAAATAAATATATTCTTTTTTTTATTAATCATAATGGTGTTTAAGCACTGTATCATATCGACAATTATGTTTTTTGTTTCTTTTCAATATAGAGATAATTTTCAAACAGAAAAAAGTCAAGTTTGGGTTTTTGGCTTTAAATGATCTTGAAACACATAAAATATCACGATTACTATTTCGAAATTTATTTATTTCGAAATTTATATATTATTTTAAAGAATAATATTAAAATATAAGTATAATTTTTGAAATAAGTAAATATTTGAAATAATAATTATTTTGAATTTTGATAAAATTTTTGTTGCACTAAATATCATGAAATATTTAATGATACAGATAGATTTTAATATGCCTAAAATGATTGTAACATCTGTAACAGACAATAATAATATGCAATAAGAATTATATAATGTTATATGAATAGATAGATGAATCTTGACAAATGAATCTATTCTATCACTCACGTTATAAAAGTTGAAATTCCACAAGTTTTTCAATTGTCAATTTTATAGAAGAGTTTGAATTTGCAGATATTAATATTAAATTTCGATTTGAGATAGAGATTTTGAAATGAGATATAAACTGTTGTTGAAAGTTATTACTCATAAACGCAGTATGATATTCCTGTACAAAATTATACAATTTATATATCCTTTAAGTTAGTATATGTAAATGATGTTCCAAAATATCATCTAGCCATTGTTCATATATTTCTGTTATTTATTTCTAGCCCATCGACCAGTCTCCGCAATTTCGTCACAAAAATTTGGAATTGTATATAGGCGTGCATAATGTGCAAAAATGGTGGTCAAACAATAAGCATCTGCAGTGATGTAATATATTACAAATTCAGCCAAGCATTGCATCAATTGCACAACTTCGAAAGACTAAAGAATAATTTGTGGATTGAAAATCTATTAATAAATAAGAAATTTCTGGGATTTTATGATCTTGTCAATTATTTTTATACGTTTTATACTAAAACGCTACTACACAGTTATATAGAAAATTCTTACGGAATACATGAAATCAGCATAGTTGATATTTAAACATATGTAAGTATTTATTTCAAATTATTAATAGTTAATAATAAGTTGAATAATATATTTGCAGTGAAATTAAATTGATTTTATCATTTTTTTAAAAGAAAAAAGTAATGTTTATATTTTCAAATTTATTCAAATATAAATAATATCTAGTCTTTATTTTGAATATATATTCCATACATATTTTTTTATGTAATCAATACATGTGCAATTTAAGACATTGTTGTTTGACGTAATATATTTAAATACGCGAAAACAGATTTTATTATCTAAAATTACAAAAATATTTGTATGAATATTTACGATAACTAATAATTTTTATTTCTTTCAAAATTGAAAAAAACAAACGTACATTACCGAATGTGATTACTGACATATCCATTATCTTTCCGGCAGTCATTTTATATTCTACACTAGATCGTGCAATAATCATAATCAAATTAAGAATATCTTTATCATGTAATCGATACCAATTTGTCATATAGACCATGTTACCAATTTCTTTACACCTCTCAGTTAGTACTTCACCAATATAACATATTAAAAACGTACTAAAAATTAAATTCATTACTGCAAAAGTATATGTACTGAGGATCCTAATATTATGTTCAGACCATTCCTACGAAAAAATGAATGTTTTCAATTGGATTGATCACCTGTGTTATTCATATTATTTTCATGATTTTTTTATAACTTGAATTTGTGAGACTTATAAAAAATTATAATTATTATATTAAAATAGGGTTGATTTCATTAATTTCAATTATTTTAGAAATTATAGATAGAAAATATAGATTTAGATAATTATAATGTTTCATATCTTAAGAGAAACATTAGATTTAATTCTAACTCAATGATAAATTTTAAAATTGTTAGAATAGAATCTTAATTTAAATCGAATAAAGAATGTTCTTATTTATTCAATAATAATAATGAAATTTGCATGGTATAATAAACATATGTTCAGATAAATTATTTTTTACATATACAAAATTATTTATTAAAATTGAAAATTAAAATTATTTAATAAATATATTTAATTTTGAAAAATGGCATACCGCAAGAATGCAATAGCTAAACATGCATATACTCAATATATTCTTGAACATTTCCATGAAGCATATTGGACTCAATAGATGTTCAGCACGTTCTAGGAAACTTCACAATTAATATGTAATTAGAGATATTCTCTAGAGGAAGATAGAAAAAGATAGATAGATAGAAAGAAAAAAGACAGAAGAAAGAGAAGGAAACTATAAAAAAGTGTTACCTTAGAATTCTCATATGATGTTCGATGATCACACTTATTTCATCAATGCGTACATTCTTATTTTCTTCTTGTGGCCGGTTTATAAATTCTTCGATCCATGTAACCATTATAGTTAACTGGCCAATAGTGTGACATGCGAATACTGTAGCAAGACTGAATGCGATAACAACGGTGGCACTCATAATGTATCCTGTCATAAATTGCAATCCAAGGACAATACCGTATCCTGGATTAGTATCAACCGGAATTTTATAGGTTGGAGAGGGTAAAACGTGTATTTCCATGCTTTCATTGCCGATTTTAATTGTTCGTTTGAAAACTCCCAATACAGTGCAAAAACAAATAGCACTAATTTGCACGAAAGCTGCGATACAAGCGGAAATGATGCGACCAATTTTTGCATTTTTAAACATTACTTGTCGATCCGCCGTTTTTGTGATCACCTTCCAATCAACTTCCATATGCTCTATACAATAAAGTATATCGTTTTTACGGAGTAATAACACGGCGTAATTGAGCCCTCCTCCAAAGCAATAGCTTATAGGGGCGAGAGTTTTTAATTTTGAGATGATATCTTCTTTCACGAGGGTGAAATGTAACAAGCTTGATATTGTGATGAATAGCGTGATAATCCAACAAAAAAAAATAAGAATCTTTGTCATTATTTTCTCGAATTTTGAGGTGGAAGATGAAAATGGCCATACGCCTATTGTTTTCGAGAACCATTTGTTGAATTGTATGCTATACTCGTTCAAATTGTCAAACTTCTTTTGAACCGTGGCAATATCGTCAGCCATCATGTTTCCTCACCGAAGTCGGAGAAACGACTGAATAGTATACGTACGATGTCATACAGATGATGTGTTTCGATCGATATGTATATTCCATAGCAATGCCATAACTGTTGGCAACGGTTAATCCATGTGTTTACGTTTTATTTCATTGACGGTTGTTACACAATATACACTCTATGGTTTAATAGAAATTAAATTAGATGTCGTAACGGAACGAAAAAAATTCGTAAAAAAGATGTTTTTTATATGTGAAGTGTAATTTTGTAATATGATATGTGTTTGGATGTGGCCTGATGTAGCCTAAAAAAAAAAAGAAGTGAAATTAGTAAACGGAAAATAAACAAATAAATATACTATTTTTTTAATAATCATAATCGTATTTAAACCATATCATATTGACAATTATGATTTTTATTTTTTGTTAATATAATTTTTAATATAAAAAAGTTAATTTTAATTTTTGACTGATTCTTAAATGATTTTGAATCATATAATATATCAAAATTAATATTGGTTGTTCTGATATGTATACATTATTTTACAGTATATTATTTTAAAATATAATATTTTGAAATATATTTTCTGAAATAAATAAATATTTGAAATAATTTAATTATTTCAAATATAAATAATTTTATATACAATAAATATATACAATATACAAATATACAAATAAATAATTTTAATTATTTCGAATTTTGATAAAATTTTTGTTAGTAAAATATTTAGTGAGAGTACGAATGTTTTAATATGATAATATCTAAAATGATTATAATACCTGTAACAGAGAATAATAAAGAATATAAATTATGCAATTTAATATGAAAAATAAATGAATTTTTCACTCACATTACTGATGAATTTCACGAATTTAATTTGTTCTTTTCTAGTAGAATTATCTAATTTATCATATAAGCTACAAAACAATATTTATATGCTAATAATATTAATATTATTAATATATAATATTAATAATATTATGTAATAATAAT